CTTCCAAAAAGAGCTCCCTACAGTCACATCAGTGGTGCAGGTGTTCCCCTACCTGTTAACCACATTGTTTTTATGAAATATTGATAGAGCTCTACAAAGATACATTATCCTTTACCAGGCACAGTGGCTGTTCCTAGCGTCTGCAGCGAGTTCAACCAGGGGGCTCACATCCCCTCGAAACGGCCAGCTGCCTGCTGACGGACACGTTCAGAGGAGCTGGGTGCTACGTGGCTGCCAGAGCTCATTTCAGAGGATACCATTAAAGTCCCCTCAAGGATTGCTGCCTCTGCCACCCTGCTCTTCTGGGCAATGGCAAGACCCCACAGGAGCAGGCTCTGAGCAATGTGGCGTGCAGGAAAGTTGCAGAAAAGTAAAGCAGCTTTTCTCTGGGTGCTGGTAGGACCATGCCTTATCCAAGCATTGCAGATCTATGCAAAACCTTTGGGAGAGCATCTCTTACAGCTGGCACCCAGCACCACACACTCTGAAGCCTGACAGCACCTAAATAAACAAATAACCCATCTGCAACAGTGCTCAGGAGGATTCCCCAGCACTGGGACAGTAGTCTGGCTACCAGCCAGCAAATCCACTGGTGATCAAGTCATGCCAGATTTAGAGGGATCTTTCTTTTAAGATGTTGGCTTTCCCAGAGACAGTGAGAAGAATCGCAGCATTGACTATTTTAGGAAACAGATTGGAACACATTCATATTTGGGGATTCTTGGATTTCAGGTAAAATGCATTTTTCAGCCCTGCATTCAGTCCTGCTGGTACATATAGAGGTCTTACATAAAAAAACCTCCAACTGTTTTTTCTAATGACATTTCCCAACAAAAAATTTCAGGCACAAACAGCTAAAAATGCTGTTCAAACAACTGAATGGTTATCTGACTTCTGAACAGTTAAAAATTCACCTGTCACTAGTAAAGTGAATAAATTCATACTTTATAAAATAAGATCACTCAATGCTTTTCTGAACCCCATCAAATTCTTGCCCTCAATAACCAGATAATTATCCATTTTATAAACACACAGCCACCAGATCCACCACCTTTTTAGCGGTGCAAGGGATCCTTTCCTTGCTGAAGGCACAGCACCCAGCAGATCTTCTGTACTACCACACTCCTTCTCCAAAGCTGATCCTTGCCAGTGCTAATTATTTTCCTTTTTTTTGTTGCAGTGTTAACCCTTTCATTGTTCTCTTCACCTGGAGGTCTCCTCTGCTGTTTAACAGTTCTCATTGCCCATCTCAAAGTCCTTTCAATTATCATTTTATGATTTTACTGACTAACTCAACTCTCAATTAATATGGTCCTAAAACCCCTTTGGCTGTGAGCACTCATAAATAGGAACAGAAGACTGTACTTTTCTTCCATTTCACTTCATTCATTTTAAGTGAAATATGTATGAAAAAGACAAATGATACACTTTCTATTACCAGATACTAGTTCATATCCTCCTTACTCTTTCCTTTTTAATATCATCATCAAAAGTGATGCACTTCAATTCTTTTAGGCATACTTTGATGATATTGCAATATGCAGTTTATGGAAAAATCAAATGACATTTTTTTATGTCAGCAGCACTCTGCTATTTCCCCACTAAAAAGCAACATTTAATTTTTGAGTTGCACATTTGCAGCAGTTGCTGTGGGCGGAGAGTCTGCTTATTTATTTGGTTGGTTTTTACTACAATGTACTGTCATGGCAACTGTACTGAGGGCAAATGCATCTGGAGGTAATTTATATATGTCATATTGACTGCAGTAAAATTGGCCTGTACCACTTAAACTTTTTAAACCACTGGGCAAGGGCAACGTTAGCCTTTTGAGACCCAGAAGCAGCTTCTCCTTAGTAAATAAATAAATAACTAAACTAGGCAGAGCAACAGGAGCAATGCCAAACGTTTCTTGGTGTTTGGATGCAGAGCTTGCTGCATACTTAAATTAGTCTGGTATCTTGGGCAGTTACCCTAGTTCTGCTGATGCATAGTAGGTTTTTCATCCTGCTAACGTGGGAGGCAGCGATCACGCCCTACGCAGGCATTGTTTGGGCAGGCGGTGGCCAGACCTGTCTCCCCTGGCACCAGGAGGCATCGCCGCGTACTGCCCAGACAAGTGGCAGATCCTCCTGTCACGGGGACGATGCAGCTTCCAGCTGCTCCACTTTACATCATCGCAAACATGGAGAAACTCAGCTGAAATCTGCTGAAAGGCTCAAGCCTACAGTGGCATTAAAAAGGACTAAATTGGGCCAGCGATGCAGTTTGAAGCATAACATGCCTGACCTCTGCTACATGGCTTCAATGGTCCTTCTCCAGCAGAGCTGCCACTCATCGCTGATTAGCAACGCCTAAAGGTTCCCGGCTGCCGCAGCACTGCCTTTCCAATGCAAATGACTTGGACGCACTTGAGAACTTTGGCTCGAAGCACTTCTTGATATTGTAACTTGATCACTTTGTGAGTAAACCAGAAGAGCTATGAAACCCTGAATTACAGTTGGGCAAAGATGATTGCAAGTCTGATAAATTTATCTAGCCTCCATCTTGCTGCTGGGGGGGGGGGGGGGGGCGCAAATCTTGAACCTTCTGAATACCTGTGTGATTGCAGCCATTATCATCTCGCAGATGAGGCTTTGCAGCAGCATTTTATTAAGAAGGGCTGTTCCTTTGCATTATAGATGACAACTTGTACACTGTACTGTCTGCTCAGACACCAGCCACCAAGGCATGTGGCTGCCTCCTCCATTGGCCAAGCCTTACCTCAAAATACTGTATGCTGTAAGGAGCACGGTAATTTCCCAGTCAGAATCTCAAATGGCTAACAGACACGCGCATCTTTCTTTTAGATTAGACAGACTCTTTTGGGAATAGCTCAAGTTTCCAGTAGCCCTATGTTAGGAATAACTAGTGAATCAAATCATACCTATGCTGATAGACAGTATTTCTTCAGATAAATTAGCGCAGTAACAATCTGCAGTTATCTAATTATGGCTAATTTCCTGTTCATCTGTCTAGGTACTTCTGACCCTTTTACTGTAATACTTGAGCACTCACAACGTTGATCAGAGATTTTTAATAATTTAAGGGTCAGCTCTTTAGCTGGCGTAAATCAATGCATTTTCTTTGGCTTTGGAGCTGATCAGAAGGGAGGTGGGTTAACTTTTACAGTGGAGAAAGTGGTTGTAATTTACTACAGCATGCTACAGACTTGTAGCCCTTTGCACCTGCTCGCTCTCACGAGTTCTTGGAGAAAGTGTAAACACATAGAATATTTTTGGATATTATTCAGCCCTATACAATTGAGACCAGTATACATGAACTTGAACAACAAAATTTAAAAAAAAGCACCTAAATCAGGTCCTCAAGACCACCCGACTTGTAGGATTAGAAGACACAGACTCCAGCCTTGTGCCAACACCATTTAGCAATCGAGGCTGAAAGGTCACACCAATGGAATTCAGGCTCAATTGACAAAAGATTCAGCTGAGCTTTAATATATTTTTGGCCTAGAAGTTTTGGAGCTTTGTTTTTGATTGCTGCTTAAAATAGAAAGAAGTTGCACAACTAAATGAACAAGGGAATGTGTGGAGACTTAATTGGTAGCATCTATTTAAGAAAGAAGGATAAGTGAATTTCCACAAAACTTTAAATCAGATACTGAAACAAGAAGTTCAGTGAACGGATGTTTCTTTGCCAGGACTCTGGATTTCAAGAGTGTGCCCCAACTGCAAGTTAAGCAAAAGCCATAATATTTTCTTTTCTGGAAAACACTGCATCTTTTCTCAACACTTGCCTGGCTCTACAGAGAAGTGATTGACTGGGAAAACAGGAACTTATGGGGAGATGCCAGCTTTTATTTGCTACGGGAGGTTAAAGGTTCCCTAGAGCACAAAGGAGCTTTTCTTGCCCAGACAATCCCATCATGGTATACATCAGCACAACTAAAGCCTGCAAAGCTCAGAAGCAGTCAAGAGATATCTGGTGAAACTTGAAATGAATTTTTTTCATTCACTAGTTTTTATCCATGGGCATCCACATGTCAATATTTGGCAATAGAAATCTACTAAAAAAATAGCAGGATCTCTGGTTTCTTTTAAAGCGACATGCACAGCAACTCACGCAGCTCTGCGTGTCAGTACAGAATCCGCAAATACCCTTCCAGCATAAAGCCTGACTTTATTATGCTTCAAAGAGATTAATAATTATTATCTTATCTATTGTGAGTTGCAATTTCTTTTTTTTTCCCCACATACCCACACTGCTGTTTCCTTCTGATCTGTATTTGTAGCTTAGCTACTGTTTAGCTGAAAGGAAGGAATTTGATAATACCTTCCTAAAAGATGCCTGGACTGTGGCTGCCTGTTCCAGCCAGTGACAAAGAATGGAGATGTTGGCTATTGACAAAAGAAAATAAAGAACTTTTTTTCCAAACATCCCAAGAGAAATAACCTTTCTTAACCTTATCATAAAGATATTTCTTGTGCATTCCAAGTTAAAAGAAAGAAAGGAAAAAAAACCCAAACAAGTGAGGCTGAAGATCTGAAACTAGCTTCTGCTTAATCAATCATTCTCACTGGATTACAGTTTTTAAAGTGCGTAACTATGAACAACAGATGAGAGAAATGCTCAGCTAAAAAAAAAAAGGGGTGAGGGGTGGGTGGGGGAAAGTCACCCTGATGACAGGTATTTTCTATCTGGATGTGAACCGACCTTCCCCCTTGGTATTTCAGGTTTCAGCACCGGCCGTTAGGCAGCTCAGCAGAGCACGACAATGGCACCACGCCGGGTGCGCGCCGAGCCCCTCAGCCAGCCCGGCGCCTGAGGCCGGTGGCAGTACCGCACCAGGCTGCTCTCTGTGCCGCAGCCATCCGGGAAGAAGGCTTTTTGTCGGGAGAAGGCACCGAAGTGATGGGCTGAACTTATGGGAGGAACCAGCGCCCGGCCAGACGGAGATTCAGGGGCCCGTCAGGAGGCGTGAAGGGCCTGGTTTCAGTAAGGGCATGGCCAAAGCTTTCTTCAGGCTACAGAAGATTCTCCGTCGGACCCAGTTTCTGCTCTTCTTCCTCACAGCAGCTTACCTGATGGCTGGCAGCCTCCTGCTGCTACAGCGGACCCGCTTGGTTATCCAGCAAGGTTCACGTGGGACCTCTGCTAATCAGGCCCTGCCAATGCCGGACGGGATGGCTGGGATTGGGATCGTAGACCCCAGGACGCTGCAAAACTCCCGCCCCAGTCCCAGGCTGCTGGTGGGCATGGATGCGCTGCAGGAGCCGGCCCTGGACCAGCAGCACAGCCCGCGGTGGCTCGTGTCCCGCAACTCGGAGCTCAGGCAGTTGAGAAGAAGGTGGTTTCACAGGTTCATCAGTGATCAGGAGCCCATGCAAACAGCAGGATTTAAAGGGATGAAGCACACTGCTGAGCACAAAGGTAAGGGATGTACCCCTGCCCCGTTTTCTGGCACGCACACAGACTACACCTCCTCCTAGGACCGTCCCAGGCAGAGACTGGTGAGCACCACAGAGTGTCCCTGCAGAAACACCTTCCTTCTGGCTCATCACCACTTTCAAGCCAGTTCTTAACCGTATGTGCAGGCCAAAGTACGATCCTGATGTCCCTGGTCATGCTGAGCTGTAACTTCCTCCAAAAAAGTATTTTTATTGACTGAATGGAAGCCCAGACAGTGAAATATGCTTCCCTAATTTAAATTATTTTCTCTTCAAGTAGGCAGAGATGAACACTGTTTAATTGATTTTCTTTCTCCGAACAGGGAACACTTTAAAAGTGGGTTTTATTAAATTAACTATCCAAAACCACACAATACCTTAAGTCTAGAAATGCCTCCTTGCTGCTAACACTTTCTAGCATATACTAAATTCTGCTATTGCAAACACATTCACTGCTCCTGACCTGCTCCCTGTGACCATCTCTGCAAACATACTGTCCTTAGGGGGACAAGATGTGGGCCACACAACCCTCCTGAATCAGAGACAAACTCCATGTGTTTGGCGAGTTTGCTGAAAATTTGCAACAGGCCAAGGGGAACGCAAGGGGAATTCACGCCACTGCACGGGTGCAGTGCATCAGTGGCTAGAGCACATGGTAGAAAACTGTACGCCTTCCAATCCAAATGGAAAGCCATTCAGGTTTGACAGAAATCTGAGTTCACTTCAGTGTGAGCCTGATTCTGCTGCCTGAAGTGCTGCTGATAAATACATGCATGGACTGCTTTGGTTTGTTCAGTAGGAAAGCTTTTAAGAAACTATTTCCAGAGCAAGCAAAGAAGCAAAACAGGAGTCTGTAGATGTTCACATTTCCTGCATGGAAATTCATACCCTTATGACCCCCCCAAAGAAAGCTGCATCATCCCAGGCGAGTTTGGGATAGCATCCCCTCGCTGGGCCCACGACACACTCCGAGGAGGTGTACAAAGCCAGATGCCCATAGTGTTGGGCTGTTACACAGCCGAGCTGCTCGCTGTGCAGCGGGGAGCTGGAGCCCCAACTCTGCAGTCACCTCCAAAGGCTGAGCATCCCCAGAGAGCAAACAAGCCCCCTTGAGAAGCCCAACATAGAAAGCAACAGGATTCAAGCTAGGTGACTGACCATGCTCTCAAGGCTGCAGCATCAAATTATGAGTTTGCAATCTTTGATCCATTGCCTTTTAGAAGAACTAGTTATTGTTGGAGATGTTTCACTGATAATAAAAAAAGAATGGGATCTGGATGACTAGACTCCATATTACTAAACTGCTCTTTAGTTTGTTGAATAAATTTACCCAAAGGGGCACCTTCTGCAAAAATCCCACAAAATGGGTGCCCCCTTGTGACTCCTACTAAGTGAAGTGTCAGAAATGGGAACAAGAAGGTGATAGTGATGGTGTATGGGAGATGACTCTCACTTTGTGAGTCGGCAAACTAGCCGCTGGAGCCACCTGAAGCACCAAGCTGGAGCTTCCAAGAGTGCTCCGCAGGCACTTTGTAACATCCCATTGGTAGCAGGCTTTGGTGGCAGAGAAGAGAGGCTGCAAAGCGCAGATGTCTCCCAGAGAACCCCACTGCATTTCGTGACATGCCCCGAGCACATAGCCTGGGTGCTCAGAACTTAATGACAGCCCCTGGACTAGCATGAAACATGAGGTTGCAGCTACTCCATCCCGCGCACCAGTGACCAAGCCTGGTGCAGGGGAGCAGAAAGCTTTGGGGGGTGGCCCTGTCCCTATCCCTGTCCCTGCTGGGCAGGGCTGGACGCAGAGACTGCCAGCTCTTTGTGGGAGGAGGATGCACCTTCACCTTAAGCAAATATGTCTTTTCCTGACTTTGGTCACCACCTAGTTTAATAAGCTCTTCGTGGACAGTTGCAGAAAAGAATCACATGAACCCTCCAGGCTACCATTTTTGTACCTGTACCTCATAAAGCCAGTATTTAATATTCACAAAGTACTACTTTTTCCACTGTTTTGCAAGCAGCAGACACCCTGGTCTCAGCTGCTCAGTAGAGGCTGACGATTTAGCAAGGAGGTGCTCAGGCAGGGTGCTGCCTGGGCAGGCTTGCTGTTTCCCACTGAGAGATTTGAGGGGGCCGTGGAAGAGAGAAAGCAATACAATAAATTAGGGCACATTACATTCTGTTGCTCCAGATGTCCTGTGAGCAGTACTTCCATGCTGCACGTGCTCTGGCAGCATGGATAGTTTTGGTGGGTTCAATGAAGTAAACCTGGCTTGCTGAACTTGGTGAGTGCCCACAAGCCATTTGGCTTTGCCTCTTCCGCAGTCCCGACTGTGTGAAGACAGCATGCCTCCTTCTCCCTTCATGGACTGTAGCTGCTTGGGCAGCTCTAGTCCCCCTTGCATTTGGTGAATTCCCACGCACCCACCCACCCCTGGTGAACAAAAGAACAGATAAAAAGTAGAGAAACATGGTGAGTCCTTATAAGCTACTCTAATACTAGGCAGAGCATGAACCTGTTCTTTAAAAACTTCAATTAAAACCAAAAAAATTAATTTTGAAAATTATCCATAAAGTTAGTTAAGGCTAGCACCTGTATCAGCCATTAAGCTAGTGCCTTGCTCAGGTTCTAACTGCTGACTGAGAGGAGCCAGAAGGACTATTTATTGCTACATCCTACTGAATTATGTTGATTCAAATATGCATCATTTGAATATCTGACTGAACATGAAGTGACATTATTAATAACAGTATTGTTAACAAGCATTGGAATGCCTTTGGAAATTATCAATTAAAAATTTAACTACCTACGTAGAGCATGTTATCTTCCCCCCCCTCACTTCTCCTAGTAAACTTACAGGCTTGTTATTTCATTATGGATCCCTTCCAAGATATAATTAACTCCTCCGTGGTTATAATGCTTATTAAAGTTTCAGCATTGCCCTGTGGTTCCCGCTCAGTAAAGCGGCACATTGCCTTACCACGGAGGCTGTGTTTGTGCATTCCTCATCAGTGCCATCCTAATAACGCCCATGCTTCCTGACGCGGCACGGCCGCTCTGCTCCAGCTCACGCACGGGGATTGCAAGCCAGCCTTCAGTGTGCTTCCCGGGGCAGACCCTTAACCCGAGACAAAAACGACGGCATCTGCTCCAGCATATTGTGAACACCTCCTGGCTCACTTTGCCTTGCTCTGTGTCCACCCAGGATCACATGGCCTTGGTGAGAAAATTCAAGTCCTTATGTTTTTTTCTCCACATAAAGCTATCTTGCCTGCTTACGTTGCAGGTGGCTCAGGGTAGGGACCACATCTTACCCTGCCAGGGAGACTGGCAAATACTACTAGTGCAACAAATGATAACAGGAATTTGTTAGGTAAAAAATGAAAATTTTCTGTTACGAACGCTTCCAGCGGATGGGGTGTTTCATACCATTTCCCCTGGCCTGGTTACACCATTGCACAGGATGCAGAGGTGACAAGGTCTGGATTGCTGACATGACGTTCTGCTCCAAGAGCGCAGAGTCTCTCTGTGACTCGTTCACAGGAGGATGTGAATGAGATATTGCTGTCGGGCTGGCAGCAGCGCGGGAAGGATGCAGGGAGGAGCGTGGATGCCGCCTGTGTTCGCTGGCCTGCCCGTGCCTCCCGACTCAGGCTCTTTGGCCCCACACGCTGAGTTTTCTGCTGCTACTGGTTTGAATCAAAGTACCCAAATCAAGTCTCCGCTAAAATGCAGAACATCCTTATTGCAGGTGTGTGACTCCCATCTCATTAACAGAGTGCTGTGGGTGTATATTCACAGCTTGTGAATTTTCTAATTGCATGTTTGCAAATTACCAATGTGCAGGTCTTTGAATCTACTGTTGTGTTTGTAATATTTAAATGTTTGATTTATTATTCTTAGCTCCAAAATCTCTGTTAGAGTGGCTCAAACTTTCTTTTTCTTGTGGATTATTTTATTGTTAATACAATGCTTTTTAGTTTCATTTTTCCTCATATATTCTTTCCCTGTGTTATCACCTCAATACTGCTACTTCTAAAATCAAATTTCCTTTTTTCCTTCATATTTTAATGATAAAATGTACTTAAATACACACAACTGCTGTATAATAGTGGGACTCCACATCATCCTTCCAATCATATATTAAAAAACGGGCTGGATTTTTATAGTCTTTTGTTCATGACAACAAAAAAGAGGCTCAACATAGGATGCAGTCTAAGAGAAATATTTATCTTTCATATGTTAAGCAAGACATATTTTAAGAGATTCATTTGCACCAGAGAGAAAGAGAGAGTTCAATGCGATAGCTAGACAGTGCTGTCTAGTTACGACTGAAGTTATCTTTCCATTATAGCTTTAATATAACTCTATGTACCCAAAGAGAATTGATTTTCTTAATATTTCTCTTGCACCATCTCATTATCAACTAGAGATTTGCAAGAAAACCTGGGAGAAATCCAACAAGATTTCTCAAAGTTTATATAATTTTGAAGACTACCTTCTCCTTTACTTCAGAAACTTGCCATGCCTTGTCACCGGAGGGAGTCGAGCAGGCAGCAGTCGCCTGCGGGAACCATGGCTCCGGGGTGGTCGCAGACTCTGGGTCTGCAAAGGTAGGCCTGCTTAAAGTAATGTGGCTAAGGGAAAAATCTCATTTCCCTTCTGTTCATTTCCATTTGACATTTGAGTTTACTCCTTCAATAGCACCTACAAAGGTTCAGTACCAGCGGACAGGTCTGTAGAGCAAGCTGGACCCCAGACAGGTTGTGACTTGATCAAATGCAACCCTGCTTGCAACATACGGCACTCGATCACAGCTGGATTTTTTTTTTTCCCCTCTCCCCTGTCTCCATCCCATGCATGTTGCCTAACTCTGGTCTTGCATGCACACAGGCACCTACATGGGATGCTTCAGTGATGATTCAAGGGAAAGGACACTGAAGGGAGCTGTGTTTTATGACTTAAGAAAAATGACAGTATCTCACTGTCAGGAAGCTTGTGCTGAGAGGTGAGTGCTATTTTTTCACTGCTAGTATTCTCTTTTCTAACAATAAGTGGAACTGAATTTGAAATGGGAAAAGCATGCATACGTTAAATATATAGCATCTGTGAAAACTGTGATTATCTCATACCTTCAGGCATGGCATAGCTCTGCTACCTTGCTTAAAGTAGACTGTTTCACTGCTGCCTATTCTCTTTATTATAGCATGGCTACTTACAATATATTTTCTGTTGTCCTGGTCAAAAATTACTGTTTTGTTAGATAGTCTTTGTTAGGTATTTGTTAGATATTGCCCTCTAGCCCAAATCTTTGATCTAAAATATTTAAAAAACTATGAAGAAACTACCGCTCCCAGAAACAGGAGAGAACAAGACAACCAGGTGTGTGGTAAGGAGCAGGGCTGTTCCCAGCGCAGCCCACAGAGCTGCCAGTCATCAGGGAACAGGCAGGCGCAGCTCCTGCCACCGCTCTGCCTGCCCTGTCAGCCGAGGCAGGGTGCGAGCTGGGGATGATCATTAGTACCTGGGGCAGGACTATATGAAAATATTTATGAAAAAGATTTCCCATTGCTCCCAAGCACAAGAGAAAGCAGAAGAAACAATGTGATTTAGAGCTATTCCTGTGAATTTTGCTTCCCTTGGTCCATAGGGCAACGCAGCGTATGTGGAGCCCATCGCTTCAGGGGTGCCCGAACTGCAGCTTAACCCCATCTTGCTGGCTCTCAGACCCCCCTGTTGCAGCCCAGTCCCCTGCAGCCACACAAAGACGCTCCAGATGGAGCTGTCCCTTGGGTGAAGGGAACGGTACTCTCCTCTCAGATGGACAGACCGTCAGGCCCCGTCAGACAGTTTTTGGAGGATGGCGGAGCCAGGCCCTGGCTTGGTGCAGCCAGCAGAGGGGTCAGCGGTGGGCCTGGCCGAAGGGACCCTCACGCAGCCTGCGTGGGCATGGCGCGTGCTCGCCTTTGGCACGAGAGGCCCAAGGGAGCGCTTCGCCCTGCAAAGGGGACCCGAGGGACCGTGCGCTGCGACCGCAGGCTGCCACCTCCATCCAAGCACCGACTCCTGTGCCACGAGCCCACCCAGACCGGACAGTGGTTTCATGCGGCGTAGGAGGCACTGGCAGCCTGTAGCGGCCGCTCCTGGAGCCGGCGCGGCGGCGGGAAGCAAGCCACGGCTTGGGCGTCTCGGGAGAGGCAGCGAGCCCTGGGCCTGCTGTTCGAGCGGTGGCCTCACCTGGGCTTGAGCATTTGAAAATTGCCTAACTGGATCCAAAAAGTTAACAGAACCTCTGAAAGGGGCTTTTCTTCTCTGCCACTCTAAACCGTCCTTACACATTTCTGATCAAAACCTGAAGGGGTAGCTCCGGGCAGGGGCAGCGTCACCCCCAGCAGCGACGCTGTCACGTCCGTGGCACCAGGTGGGCGAAGGCCCGGCTGCGCTCCCGCGGGAACGGCACAAGCATGACCGTGCAGCCAGAGACCGGGCCGTCGCTCAGACACCCGCATCGGGAGGCAAAGCCCACCTCGCTCTCCCGAGGACTGCCCCGGGCCCGGGCAGCCCACGCCGGGCGGAATCTGACCACCACCGCTCCCCGCCGTCACCCGCGGTACGAGGTGGCTGCCCGCGCTGGTCCCCGGGGCTGGCTGCGCCTCTGGAGCAGGGCAGCAGAAGAGTACACCACACACAGGGACAGGCTCCTGCCTTCATTAGGTATCAACTCGGGAGTAGACGGGGTGCCTGTAGCAACAGTGCCTGGTTTTGTTCCCCGCAGGGCTTACACCTATGCGGGCCTGGCGTACGGAGCAGAGTGCTACTGCGGGAACAAGCTGCCAGCCACCGCCTCGAAGCCCGAGGAGTGCAACAGCGAGTGCAAGGGGGAGAAGGGCTCCGTCTGCGGAGGGGTGAACCGGCTCTCTGTCTACAGGGTGGAGGAGCTGCGGGCAGGAGCGAGAAGACGTAAGTGGGTGTGCGACCGGAGGGAGGAGGCTGCTCTCCCCAGAAACGACGCTCGCCCCACGGGGGGAGACGCCACAGCCGGGCTGAGCGCGTGGGCTGTCCCTGTGGCTCGTCTCGCTCCGTTTGTCACCAGAGTTTGAAACAGCAAAGGACAAAGGTGCCCATGGGGCGCGGTGTCCATTTGCTGCTGGTCTGGTCCCTGGCTCCCTCCCCGAAATAGCAGTGCTGCTCACCGCCTCGGAGCGGCGAGACATGCCTGGCGCGGCTGCCTCAGGGCTGCCACGTAGGAAGTTAGCGTCACCAGGGAAAAAAGAAAATAGAGTGCAGAGCAACTGCAACAGCAGCAGAATTTCAGCTGAAAAACTACTCCATATTGCATCCATTGCAGAGGGACAAACCCACACGTGTTTAAGAAACAACCCTGAAAGTGGGTGCCTTTTAATGGAAGGGTAGAAAAGCACTCATATCAATGCCACCCTAAGCTCAGAAATTATCCTAAATGAAGTAAGTGCTACGTGACTGCAGGAGGAGAATAAGTAGAGGCCAGAGAGAGGGGAACACTACTCTCTTTCCTAAGTGACAGAAGTGACACCACAGTTTTGCTCTTCCAAGGACTTCTGTTCTAGTGGCAGTTGGGATTTTTGTTTCATCATCAGATGACAACACTTATTCTACTTGTCATTCAATCAGCTACCATGGGAGATACAACAGATAAACCTTTGGGCCAACCCAAAGCACATAAAATACCTAAGCAGCTGAGCAGTCTTTACTTTTGGCAAGCTCACAAGACCTTACGGATGTTATTTGCTGAGAAGAAGCACCAAGACCTTAGGTTGTGCCAGTATTGATGGTACTTCATTTATTCTTAAAGACAAGTCAAGGTTTGTACAATAATCCACCCAGCTACATATAAATTATATATCAAAGGTACATAGACTTAAATTGCTAGTGTCAGGCTGACAGGCACGTTGGCAGGTTTCCCAGGACATGCATCACTGTTTAAATCTTCAGCATAAAATATATATACATATTTCACAGGAAAAGGCGGCATTTATTTTTTTCTTAAGTATTAATGAATTAGTCATCAAATTAGTCTAGCCTGGAGCTAGATTTGTATTTTGTTTGCCCTTAGTAATACCTGATATTAGACTGTTTGAAGAATCCCACTGTCACAAGCTAGCTGAGGGGCCAACAGAAGTATTAATCACAATGAATAAGTATATTGGAAAGTAACTCTGAAACTGTAACGGCATCCATGATTTACACTACGCAATGTAGAGAACAGACCTCGCATAAGGCTTCTACTTATGCAGGGCAGATCCAGCAGCATCTCCATTTAAACCCTCCCAGACACGGGGTTTGCGGGCACGGCCGTCCCCTTCCCACCCTGGTTCCCTGGACAACACGAGCTGCACAGCTCGTGCACCACAGGACTCATGCCCCCCCCCCCATTAAACGCAATGAAGCCCAAAGTCTGTGGCTATTGCAGTCTGGGGATCGCTGTGGCAATTCAGCCATCCTTCCCCAGAAAGCAGGCAGACGACGTAAATACATCACATTTCCAGTGTGATCTGTGGGTTCTCTGCAAACCACGCTCCCTCCCAAGTGCCAGTATGGGCAGTTCAAGCTTTCTTCCTGACCTGCTCAGGCAACTCTAAATATGTCCATAAACATTTTGTTTCAGGAATTAAATCTTGGTGTGAGATTTAGTAGGAAGTCTTTCAAGAGCATCCCGAGAAGCCACAAAACTTGTGTCCCTTCATTCTTTGGCGCTGTGCTTGCAGTGATCTGGTCCCAGGGAGACTCCTGTTTCCCCTCAACTTCCATCAAGTTATTTTATTTTCACATCTCCCAGGTGATCCCAAAGATATAGCATTGCTTCTAGTAACTGGTTTGAACTGTTATTAGAACAATATTTAAGCAGCTTCTCCTTAGATTGCTCTTGGCTTATGCTGGGGAATCTGGGCCCTTGTGCCAGGAAATTCACGCAGAACCAAATTTTTCCTTCAAAACTGCAGTGCACCTCTCCTGTCATCCAACACATTTCCCACATCAGTTCTGGTGAGTATTGCTTAAGGTAGCCAGTGAGTGCAGACCCAAATTTATTCCCAAAACTACCTTTCTCCCTACTGAGTCACGCTAGGCAAATTCTGTTAATAAAGAGTTAGTAGAGAGTGGTGAAGTTTTCCACCATTGTAAAGCCCACAAAATCACAAGAATTACAGAACTGTCATACAACATGCAGAATTTTTTCTTTTCTAACCAGCCACACAATGTTATTTTCTTCATTACCATTAGTTCATCTGTGCAAATGTAGGGCCTTACCCAGGGTAGTGAGTTTCCATGGCAGCTTTGGGTTTTCATTTGGTTCTGTCAGGGGACATTTCTCTCTCAAGCATGAGGGAAAATTGTATTGCTGCTTGTAACAAGTATTTGAGCCAAATCCTGACTTCAATCACAGTGATGCAAAAAATGGAGCAATTCTGCCAAGCTCTGTGGCATTTATACAGGAGCAGGTGAGATCAGACTCTGATGCTAAAGACTTGAAGAAAGCTGTTCTCCCTGAACAGCTTACAAAAGCCTAGTTTAGATTTCGAAGGCTGCAGCAAACTCCCTAGGCCTGAAAAGAAAGCGAGTGGGAAGAAGAGAGGGATAGCTCAGCAACTGAGCAGATGTGCAGGAAGGTGGGTCCCTGTGGGGGCTTTCAGGACTCATTTAAATTCCTTTCCTTTTCTGGTGCAGATCATGGGAAGCTTTGTAGATTTTTATTGGGGCTTTTAAGTCTTTCAGGGGAAAGCATGTCTTCAAAAGAAAACTGGGACTTGCAAACAATAGCAATGCCCTCCACTGGTGGAATTTAATCTAAACTCTGCTGCAGCCCTACTTTCAGTGGTTTGTACAAAGCTAAAGGCGTGTGCTCCTTTCAATTCCACAGGATTTGCAACACATTTTTCTAGTGTATATCATGGTTTCTCTTATTTCTACAGCATTTGGAATATAAAATTTATTTTTTTTATTTTTAGCTTCTGAACCTAATATTGTTCTTTGTGAAAGAGGCAGGATACTACGGACATTGTTTTCTCAAGAGAAACCTATTTCATATCCCTGCAGGGAGGAATGTTATCTATCGAGGATGTTTTAGAGCTCCAGAAAATTTAACAGACACCTTTCCAGCCTCTTTGATACAGCCCAATTTGACGGTGGAGATGTGCTCTGAATTTTGCTCCAAGAAAGTAAGAACAGTTCTCATTTCACATCCTTTCTTTTTTGTTATTTTAAATTTTATTCTACTAAGGGAATAGCAGACATTAGTGCCTTAGAGCTTTGAATTTGTAAATGAGTTTCTAAAGGACAAAACTCAGAGTAAATACCCAGTGATGCATCTGGTCCAACTGCTCTTTTGAGTGGGGATGGTGGGAGGGAAGCCATCAGAGTGATGCCACTAAATACGATGCACAGAAAGGCTGTTCTAAGTGACAAGTATCAACCATGAGGAAATCAATACCATTTCCATGTCACATTCAAACCAAGCCCAGAGCCAGATCTGACCCCAGGAGAGGTCTTGTTGGCTGCTGCTCACGGGGAGACATGCTGCTGGAGCGTGGATGTGGGCTGGCAGCACCTGAAATGTGGCTCCAGTGACCTCTGGGGAGCTGGTCCCTGGCTCAGCTCTCAGGAGCCACGCACGGTGCATGGGCAGGGCAGGGAGAAGCAATCCCCAGCGCCCTCCACTTTGTGCCCTGTGTGCTCCCCTCCAAGGTCGTCCTTTTGGTCTCAGGCTCCTTGACGGTGCAGCAGCAGACACTGCCATAGCAAAGAAGATTTAATGCTGAGGTGTCTACACACAATTTTTGCACCAGTGTGTAACTGTGTTGGCTAGGAACTTGATACAATCTTAAATATAAAAAAAAAAAAAAAGCAGATAAGCACAGTGAAAGCAGGTGGATATTCCTGATACTTTTATATAAATGTGTCTCTTTCCACACCAGAAGAATTTATACCACTTTCACTATAACCTATGTAATTTAAATCAAATTTATTTTAATTTAAAATTGAATCATTGTAGAACTTTATGCTGATATATAAGACCACAAGAAAGCAACAAATAAGATCAGTTGTATGCTTATTGGCTTTTGGACAGAAGGTGAGAAGGAGGAACATGCTAACATCTGCTGTCCTTGTCCACACTCTTGGCCTGAAGCATCACCTTTGCTCATCCTCCACACTACCACAGAGTAAGACCATGGCTGTAAGAACCGAAGAAGTTTGACTTTGACAGACTTGGGTGTCGTTACGGGAGGGAACATTTGGCCCAGGGCACCCTGTCCTTTAGCAGCTGTTGCTGTGGTTGGTTCCCTTCCCTTCCTCCCCACTCCAATGGGGCCTATTTTTTTTGTACAGAGCAGGGTTCACTGTGTGGTCAGATTTAGCCTGCAGCCACATTCAGCCTCATGCACGAAACTGAACATTCAATTACTTTGCCTTCTAGCATCACAAAATTGATTAAAACTATTAAGGCATGAACAACAAATCTTCTTAATTACTAGGTAGAGTGGGAAAGCTTTTCCCAGTCAACATACCCTCTATACCAGCTCATCAGTGTTTTAAGAATGCATCATGGAATTAACTCTGTGCAGCGAATTGCAGTGAATCACCCATATACCCTGTATATAGTACCTTAAAAGCATGCATACAAACACACTCTTGCATCCTCCATGCATATAAATGTTCAGTAAAGTAGGACTTCATGAGCAATTCTTTCCAAGCTCTGCCATTAATCTATTATTTAATGGTAGGAAAAAAATCTTGCTCTTTCTGTGTCAATTTACCCCCATGTAACATAATTTTATTAATATTTACTGATGAAGTGCAATTAATTATTCCTTCTCTATGTGGGAGAACAGTATGAAATATCTGGAGAAGTTGTTTTCAGATGTGCTCAAACATAAGGTCAATGTTTTTAAGCACAGTCATGCCATTCTGGTTTTGGGAGATTACTTTTCTAAATAAGTGGGTTTTCAGAAGTACAGTTCCTTCAAGTTTTTCTGGCTACACAGCCAAAAAGTGGAAGCATCTGAGATTACTCATGACTGAGAAGGACAGGAAAAAGACCACAACCAAAATGTGCCACATTACCATGACATTCAAACAGGGTTGAATAGAGGAGAGCAGCAGGATGGAGAAAACTGTCCATCTCTGCAGAACAGCTAGTGGCTTTCCGAGTTAGAGTCAATGCATATTGACTTGAGGAAGCTTGTGTGAAAAAGGCATCATCAAACCACATATTCTAAAGGATTATCTAAACAGACTCCTTCTGCACAGAGGGCACGGAGAGGGCTGCAGAAATTATAACGTTAAGAGGAAAAGGGACTGAAGGAAGGTGAAGAAAAGGTTTGGTACCTCTCATTTATTCCCTCCCTAAAACAGGGCAGGTAACAATCTGCTTATCTCCCCCTGCCTCCTTTAGCTTTGCTAGGCGCCATGCTACCCTTTGTAAAGTGACTAATGGAGAGTATTTGCCTGCAAAAAGACTAGCAATGTCTCCCTCCACTTAAGCAGCAGCAATTACGTATCCAGAAGTCCAACTGTTACACATCAATTTGTGCTTTAACTCTAGATACCAAAACAAGTCCTATCAAGACACTACAAACGTTTGTCCTGACTTCAGTTCCTTTCCTTTCAAAATAAGATGGACAACTTCCTAGCTGACAGCAACATACTTAGCCCTCCTGAAATCAGGAAGGCACCGTCATTTTAGTCCAGTCTGTTACGCTGAAAGGAATTATCCCACCAATTTCTATGTATCCTGAAAAAGCTAGTGGGCTTTTAAATGGAACTAGTTGGATGCTTAAAAAAACACATTAGTAAGTCTTTTGCTCCTTGGGACTTAGAAGAAAAGCAAATTGAGGCATACCATATTTATCTGTTAGCCTTGCAAATTGCTTTCTGCAGCTGGAATGGTAGCTCCAGCCCTTGAAAGCATTTGAGATATGAATTTGAGGTTACAACTTCAGATGAAACCTGCTAAATACCCTTAATTATCAATTTCCTTCTTAATTAACAGAGTGATAACATTGCTTAATAGCAACCCATTATCACCCCATACACAGATCCATGAATGTGTTTCTGTGCTAGGTCCCTTGGCCAGAAGCCATAATTTTCATATATGCTCTTTCCTAAGCCAACCTGCATACTAAATGAGCCATCTCCATTTGAATTTATATTTTTAAATAAACAGTCCTTTTATGACTCAGCTGCTGTATACAGTTATATACGATGATACAAATAAAATCTGGAATAACACTAAGTCTTGAGGAGAGAACCCCAGTATTTCAACGCATCCAAAAGCCATGTCAGCAAGTTTGCACACTTGAACATTACCAACTCTAAGGTGCTTTTTCTTTTCTTTATAAAGCAATATACAGAATACAGCAATGTTCTAATTTCAGAAATAGACCTACTATTTTGGATTCCAGATGTAGCTACATGCCATTATTTACCCATAAACAAAAGACTCCTGGGATTTTGACCCAAATCCCATTGTAGAATTCATACAGAGTGTTTCTATAGCTTCATTTAGGTTTGTTTTTTTTAAACACAATAAAACCAAAGATAAGTAGGCTAGAACCTCAACTGGCACAGATAATCACAGCCTTGCTGACTTTATTGCAGCAGTGAGAGGAGTATTTCAAGTCAGGGTCACATCGGGTATAACAGTGCACTGAGGAACTGGCCCCTGGCCTCCACAGATCAGTGTAAAACAAGCCAGAATTTTTATGCAAGGGTGTACTGGCTTTATGGTATTTATTCTTTGCTCTTAACATATCCAGTTCAATGAAAACTTGAAGACTGACTTCTGGGTTTGTTGCAAAATGAACATGCCCATTTTTAAGTAAACCAAACCCACCATTTTTACTTGGGAGAGAAATTTCCTTCCGTGATTAGCCCCCCATCTCTTATTCTTTTTGGTAGATTGAAAGAAAAGGTTTAACTGTGTCAGATAGGAGAGTTAGTATAGAAAGCTGGAAAAGAAAGGAATTTAGAGTAGAACCAGATAAGTGTATTTTTAATCTATTCGTAATTCTTAATTTGGATACAATCTAATAAAAAACAATCAGCGATTGAATCATCACATCATCTGTGTTGCTATTGGAGAATGATTGCTTTCCTTATAGCACATAAGCTACCTGTTGAGGCTTCACCTCACAAATTCTTAGGTAAATAGTCCCATTGACATTCCCTTTCACTGAGTTACAGCTTGCAGGATGGACACCTGAGCCTGTCAATGCATGCTCTAAAGCTCAATCCAGAAAAATGCTTATTCACAGACCCGCAGACTTCTCTGGCAATAGACTTGTGTTTAACTGAAGCGAAGCATCACAGATTTGTGTGCACTGAGCTTGAGGACTAGTCCTGCGCTTAAAAGTTACATGGTTGCTTAAAGCCATAACCACAGCTTGGGGCATACGTAAATCCACAGATGAGCAAAGTGGATGGCTTGTACTTTTGATTAAATACTGATGGGGAGTCAAGATTGAATACGTTACTTTGCAATCGCTTTGTGCCCTGCATCAGGTAGACAGACCAACTGAATAATCAGCCAGCTGACTGCAGTGCTTTGCACTGACGCTGCAGATCCTGGTGTGATTCCCAGAACTAGTCATGCTTCTTTCAACGTCTGTGCTGCCATCACTGAAGCTCTGAAACTTTCACTTGCGAAGCCCACTTGCTGCCCGAGCGGCAGGAAGGCTGCACAGGCGAGGCACAGCCCCACTGCCCTGCCTCCAGAATGGCCGGGCACCCCGCACCACCGTTACCCTGAACCGCATGCAGAGTGCCTGCAGAACAGCACCATATCGACCAGGGCTTCTGCAGACACAGAAGTATGGAGAAGCATTGGCTTAGGTTTCTTCCAAAAACCTCCAGCCTTCCAGAAAAGTCAATCGCTTGCAGGTGCCACTTGGCATGAGGTACAAGGTACCTTTTTATTCTAGGCTGTGTTTAAGGGCTGGAATACTTATTAATTTCTCAAACGGAGAAACACTGCTTCATTGTAAAGGGAAAATTTCTGTTTGCAGGCAGAAACAGAACTATTTTGCCCTTGGATCAAATCTGCAAATAGTTTTTGACAGTGTCATATCTCATTCACTAAGCAAATGTTGGCTGTTTGGGCACAGATGGCACATGTGTTGTATTTGACTCCTTATCAGAGGATGAACACGTGGGGAAGAGCGAGAGATAAGCTGCTCAGCAGTCCTGTCACGCATTCCCAGACTCCAAAAGACTTTTAAAAGGCAAAAAGTGTTGATATGGTATAGGTGGAATCGAACACTCTGCACTCAAATAACCCCCGAACTTCCTTTGCTCAGCCTGTCCCTGCACACCCACGCACTCCCATGCTGTGGAGCAAGCCATCAGGGGACTTTGGAAATCCAAGGAGAAAAACTGAATTTTAGGGCCAGTTTCAGCAAAGTACTAAGTGTGCTTTTCCTGTTGAGCACACAAGCAACTGCTAGTTTCTTCAGCAAATAGTTAGCATACCTTTCCCTCAAACTTCTCTTAATTCTCATCATTACTAGCCCAGCTGCTCTGACACCACACAGCAATGCTGCTTTGCAGCCTGTTGCCTGTTTAGGGTAAGACTGGTACACCAAAACCTGAATTACTTTTCATCAAATCCACTGAAAAGAAATTTCTCAGAGCCAAAAATTTTTCTTGGGACTTACTTCCTTGCAATGAACACTACCTATAACTTTCTTGTGGTTGCACATTTCACACTCTGCTGAGATACCTGTCATTTGCAGCGGTCAGTCTGGATTTCGTATGAGGTTTCTCTATCTAGAAGCAAGGTAACATAAAACAAGCATCCATGCCTGAAGACAGAGCCCAGGCACCAGGTGAGCTAACCCTGCACGCACCAGCAGGCAGAGCTGTGTGTGCCCTTAGTTCACTCCAGCACCAGGTACAGCTGCACTCAGCTCTGCCTCTTCTGGTGCAGCCTCATGTTCACCATCAGCACAGTCCCTCTGAATAGATGTGCCAAAAATTACTTGGTATCGTATTTCTATATAGTTTTTCAAAAAATACACATAGTAGCTCTCAAACCCTGTATCAGCCCCTCTATGCACATTCATTTTTTGCAAACTGTGAAGAAGTCAGACTAAGATGCATACTTTTTTTATGGCTTGACTTTTTTCTTTCTATTTTTAAACATGATTGCAGCAGTTAGTGGGTTTAAATTTCCTTCTTTGTTAAATTCTGTAAGTTTAAGGGCGAGTTTCCGCCACAAAAACTCTGGTTAGATCAACTCAGTAAGGCAAACCTTTTCACAGCTGACTCCTCAGTTCGGGGGAATCTAAGTGGAAGTTTAGAAGATGATCCAATTCAAAATGCTCGTTTTGAGGGTAAATAAGAACAACCTTTCCCACACTGATGTTTTGCAGATGGAGTTACGCACTAGATGCTGCAGGAATATTATAAAATTATTTTTATGAATAATTAAAAAAAACAGAATATTGTGAATTTTCAAGCTTTACAAGGCTTGTGTCTGAAAACCACTTTTTAAGAAATTGCCATACGAAAGTAGTAGGCTAAGAAGCATGAGCTTTACAATGATATATCACAAACACTGCTTTGATCTTGACAGTGGCCTTGCGAAGATTTATTTTTCTTTGTATAGCAGCAGCATTCCCCGCAGGCTGTTGATGTCATGGCATTTACGCACTGATCTATTTTCTCTCATTCGTAGGAGTTTCCCTTGGCAGTCGTCCGAGGGCGGGAGTGCTACTGCGGCTACCCCACTGGGCGCTTCTCGCTGCGCGACGGCGCAGATAGGCTGCTCTGCAGCGGGATGCACAACACCAGCAGTGCTGCCGAGGGAAAATACTGCCTGGTCTATCAGACACCGGTGCAAGGTATGAGCTCCAGCCTCCCTGTGCCAGGGCCAGACCCACCACTGCTGGGAACAGCCCCTGCGCTCCTTCTGCAGTGGGCAAAAGTGATCTAGTTTACAGCAGTCTTATCACAATACAGGCAGGAATTTAGGAAACACCCCTTATCTAAATCCCTCCTTGCAATTGCACTCATAAATATGCATCTTTCTATTCTCTCATTAAGCAACACAGCCTCCCCCCACCCTGGAAGACTATAATTATTTTGCAGATGGAGAGAACAAGGCAGAGCCTGGGAAGGCATACTCCGAGCCATGCAGCACCCCGGGCAGCTGGGGACAAGGACCCCATCCTCTGGTTCCACTCCTGCTCATTAAATGCACACCCAGCCCCCATGCCACGTAGCTACTGAGACAGCTCTGCAGACTAATTTTGCTCTACCCATCTTCCTCTAAAATATTCATCTGCATACATGTTTCAAAGCCGGAAAATAAAGCAGAGAGTAAGGCTCCAATCCAGTAAGTCATTTAGGTGGCACTGGCAACTTTATCCGTGCAATGATTTGCACCGAGTTCAGTGAAACTTCTCACAAGCTTAAAATTAAATTAAGTGCTTTTCTGGATTGGTGCCGGGCTTTTTTTAACCCGACACCCTTTTTTTCCCTCCATCTCCCAGTTCAGAGGTAGGCTGCAGACACCAGCACATGAAAAGATCATGCAAGAGGAACACTTGCTTTCATGAAATTGGTAGTACTTCCCACATCTGTGTAGACCAGTAGTAGCAGAAGACAGCCTCCTGTGGATTATGCTGGCATTTTCTAGCCATGGCTTCATCTAGAGGCTGCTTTGAAGAATGAAGAGAGTAATTTCTAATTTATTTCCTGGCTTCTTGTTGAATCATCACAGAGGGTCAAGATTGGTTCTCATCTTATCCTTGCTTTTATCGGCACACTAAGAAATAAGGTTAGGATTTACAAAAGCATGTATGGAAACCAGGTGTCTAGCCCCCATGGGAGATCAACGCGATGCAGGTTCATCACTGCCTTGGGCCCTTCAGAGAAGAATGACAGCATAGAGGTTTAACTGAACACCAGCTCCTTTCAGTAAGAGGGCTTTCTCCTGCATTATAAAACTCTCAATTTCCAGGTGTACTGGCACATTCAGGGTTTCATTGAAGAGCCAACCTGCCAGGCAAATAGCCATTAACAAACAGGCATCAGGGGGCTTTTATCACAACTTGCTGGCTAGTACAATGGTTTGCCGCAGCTCTATCAAAAAAGCATTGCCACACAAAACCAGCAAAAACCTCTTCCGAGGACAATCTCTTTGGCCTCTTATGGCTGAATTAATTTTGGGAAGCAGCTGACTCACAACCGGACTCAAATTGATATCCTATATTCATAAGAGAGAGAAGAAAGAAGCAATAAACCCTGTAATCAAGAGCTGTCAGTGGAATTATTAAAAAGCCACAATGCTAACAATGAAATATCTTCTGTACTCGCAGACACCCGCTGTACGGACAGGAAATTCTTAACCACCAAATCCAAAGTGTTCGTTGCTCTGTCAAGCTTTCCTGGGGCTGGGAATACGTGGGCTCGCCATTTGATAGAGCATGCCACAGGATACTACACAGGAAGCTATTACTTCGATGGAGCCCTCTACAACAAAGGTACTGTATCCAGAGGGATGGGACACACAAAGCCTTTCTGAGGCACGAAGTTTTACTTAACTTGCTCGGGCATCCTTCTGCTTGGAGCCAGCAAAGGCTGTCACTGTTGGCACATTTGGTAAAATTTAAACACGTACCTGGAATGAGCAGTCTCACGTGGTGCAGACAGCAGCAGGGACTGCTCCAGCAACACACTGAGCCTGACAGGCAACTACTTTCATAGACAACAGCCAGGTTCTCAATTTGCAAAATTTGCATGTCACCTGCACTGATGCTGCTGTGCACATGCATGTGCACCACTCCCATCTAAAAGACTGGTCCAGAAGACCAGCTGACTGAAAAAAAGTTGACTAAACCCAGAGGGTAAGACTCTTCAGTAGCACATGAAATGCAAGGGTTGAATTTTTAAGCATTACTGATTACTCTGGGAGGACAATATCCTGAGGGGCATGTTATTTAGAAGCACCAAGCATTGGCCCTGTGAAAAACAGCCCTTTTGCAGCGAGGTACCAACGAAGTCCTCCCCAGTGGAGGAAAGCCTGGCTCCCAGCACACGTCGTGCTCAGCAGCTGGGGCTCCAGCCAGGGACAGGGTCCTCCTTACAGCAGGCGTAGAGAAGCACACAGGAATATGGCTCCCAGACAAATAAAGTCATTAAGCCTTGCAGGTCAGTGGCAGGCCAAGAATAAATTTCAGCCCTGGTCCCAGGTCCTGGGCGATGCGTTTAATTGACTGGTACTTTCACAAGTTTTACAGCACTGTAGGGAATGATTTAGAGTGCATGAAAGGGCACAGACATATAATCAAGCGAAAAAGCCAACAGTCCTGTTTTGTAAAACAGGTTTTAAAGGAGAAAAAGACCACTGGAGAAGTAGAAGGACCATCTGTGTGAAAACACATGAAAGTGGCAAGACAGAGATTGAAATGTTCGACTCGGCAATCCTGTTGATAAGGAACCCATACAAATCACTGATGGCGGAGTTCAACAGGAAATACGCCGGGCACCTGGGGTACGCCACCGACCGCAACTGGAAGAGCAAAGGTAACACACGGCCCCGGCATGGGCTGGGGGTGCCCGCTGCCACTTTGGACAGAGTTTGAAACCCATCTTCTCGGCATGCTGGGAAGGGGGGAATGCACTGGGACCTGAGCAACCAAATGCAGTGGGACTTGAGTCCCACCACAGCCAAGATCAGTCCCAAAAGCACTCAGACCCGCACTCTGGGAGTGGTTGTGGTCTTGCCGTGTATCTACCACCATGGAGAGGAGGGTAGCACTGCACCAATGCTGTGGCCACAGGCATACAGCAACACTACTGCCATCGTACTGTTTGGCAGAGGAAAGATGTCCAGGTACAACACCCCTGTGTACAGCCCATTTGCCAAGCTATGCGATGTGAAGAAAATTTGCCCCTGCAGCATGTAATAACTGTGAGAAATCTAATTTAAGATCTGGAGGATTCAATGGAGCATGACATTTCCTGAAGGAAATTTTACAGCACTGCACAGGTGCTACTGCACTGCAGATAAATAAGGATAATAGCAATAAGGGGACTTGAGATTCAGTGTTCCTTGAACACATGAAAAGACTTCAGAATATGCCAGTCAAATGCATGAAGCGTGGCAGGCAAGGTGGATGGTGTGACTACAATTTCCCCACTGAATACACTGCTGCATCCAGACTCTGCAGCAGAGAAGAGATTCGGCTTGCATTTCTCCTCGTGCATATTTTAAGCATTACAGCTGTGGCTTGGCAAACCACAGAGCACAGGGCTGGGGGAGGCTGGGGGGAAGTGTCCTCTGTCACAGCATATTTCTTTCCCAAGTTCATGTATCACCTTTCATCAGTCACAACTCAAGACCCATTCATCAAAAAAACAGACAAAATGTCCTTAGTAAAGAGAAGAAGTCTAGAGGGAATGGCTTTCCTGTAATGCAAACTACAAATTGTTACATTTCAGCCACAAATGTTCTTTGTCCAGCCCAAAAGCTTTAGCTAGGACTATCTTGACCCTTGGAAAATTAAATTATCACAGACAGCAAATAGAGATTGAGGTGTCATTAATGCCAAAGGCAAAGATGAGAAAATAATTCAGTAAATTTTGTCCCAGTGATCCTGGTAGGTGACCCTAAATGCCTCCCATGTGCCAAGAACAGAAGAATCTTCCCCTTTAATCCTATTTCCTTATCCAGTCTTCCCATAAGCAGGCTGGTAAGCATGCAGAAAAATATGTTATTTGGCAGATTTGGAAATCAAGAACACCTTGGGCCCCAGCCAAGATCAGTGCCTTGATGCTGCATTTACATAATAAAAAGTTAATATATCATTAGATAATTATTATATATTATTTGTTTACATAGATGTTAAAAAATAAACCTGTCTCCTTCTCAGTCTACATCTGAAACAGAGGTAAAAGGGTAGTAAAACCACAGAAGTAAAAGAATCTGCTTGAAGTTACATGGCAAAGCATTGCTTAATCCACCCTCCAAGCAGGACCCACTGCCTTTCCTTCTCATATCCCTTCCCCATCTTTCAGTCAAACTCTTCCCCGGGGCATTTCGTCCTCCCCCAGCCCCTGTGCAGAACCGCCTGCCCAGTGCACACACCGCTAGCATACACGGGGGGCTCAGCTCCTATGAACAAGGCACAGTAAGGACGCAAAGTTGCAGCTCTGCCCACCTGGCCACTGCCGTGCCCTCTCCAGCCCCTGGGGCTTCCTAGGCAGCTCCATGGCCATCCCAGCCCTCTGCGCAGTCCAAGGGACTGGGGGGGAACAGGGTTAACCATCATCTGCCTCCGTGCCAGAAGCCGCAAAGCCGAGCTGCCGTACCTCAGCAGCCGGCCATGCTGCACTTCTCCAGCGCACGCCCATCCAGCAACATCAGACCATGCCCAGCAACACCAGCCTGGTTGCACAAGATAACATTTGAAAAACTGTTGAAATGCAGCATGAATAACATTGTCTCATTTTCCTCGTTTTTTGGTGATCTAGAGTGGCCAGACTTTGTGAACAGCTATGCCTCCTGGTGGGCCTCCCATGTCCTGGACTGGCTGAAGTACGGGAAGCGCCTGCTCGTTGTCCACTATGAGGACCTGAAGCAGAGCCTCATCCCCAAGCTGAAGGAAATGGTGGAGTTTCTGAATATGACCGTGACAGAGGACCGACTGCTCTGTGTCGAGAACAACAGGGATGGGAATTTCAAGCGGTCTGGTGCTAAGCAAAAGGATTTTGAGCCATTCACCCAGGAAATGAAAGATCTTATCAACAGATACATCTTGACAGTGGATGAAGCCCTGAGGGGGAGAAACTTCACAGGGCTGCCCAGAGAGTATGTGCCAAGATGATAGCCTGGTAGCACTCTGCTGTGTTTAAAAATAAAAGTATTTTTTTCTTAAAAAAAAAAAAAGCAACCAAAAAAAAACAAGCCCACCAAAACCAGAGCTTTATAGCAGTTAAAGCAAAGATACTTGTGGAGTCTGCTGAGCAGTGCAAATTCTCTCCACTCTTGGGTGTTCTTCAGGGCACTAAGTGCTTCAGAAGGCAAGCAATGAAGGATAGAAATTGGGTTATAAACCAAGGCAAAAAGCTATTAGTGTCTACCTGTGCGTGCCCCTCCCTGCACAAGCAGCTCAGAACTTCACAGTGGAGCACTCCTGCTTCTGCAGCAGGCATCCTGCCTTCTCACCGCTGCTGCCATCACAGACCTGCCAGGGGCTGCTTGGGTTTTCACAGCAACTGTGTTGGAAATGGATGTACGCAAAGGGGGAGGAAACAAAAAAAAAAAAGAAGATTCTAACACTGATCAGCAGTTTTCATCTGAGCATTTAAAAAAAATCAGTTGCTTTCTTCTTAGTATAGCCCACTAGCTTCCTTCTCCCAGGTTTGCTGGTCAGGTCACCTGCCACAGCAGAGTCAGAAGTGCAGGGGGAGAAAAGCACCAGTGGGCAAAGGTGCCCTGGATGCTAGGCAGAGAGGTGCTTCAGGACAAACCCCAGGCTTCCCTGCAGGAACGGCATGGCCTGCAGCCACATGAGCTCTGCAGGGAGGTGGGTGGCCCCAGCATACCCTGCAGCACAGCTGGGGACCAGTAGGAGAAAACTGAAAATCAGCATGGCCAGAGGTGGAAATCCCTGGGTGTCACCAGTCCCAAACAGACCCAAGACCTGGCCCCAGGGGCATGGAGGAGACCCCAGAGGGGTGGGAGAGTAGGGGCTGTGGCCCATGCTGGGGGCTCAGCACAGGTTTCTGTGCCTCCATCCCCGCACCTGGAGAGTCACGGTGTGTCTGGGGAGACAGCGGGTCCAAATGTCAGCACACTCCATGCACTTGGTGCTAGAAGTGGCCATGGCCGGGCAGCACTGACATAAGCCCGCACCACCCAGGGAGTGGGGGCAAAGAGGATGAGCCCCAGCCCTGCCAGCCCCAGCATGGGCAGGATCCCATCTCCCCTTCCATCCCTGGAGGAAGACAGAGGCAGTGCAACCTGAAAAACATTAAAGCTACTTATGGCTGCTCTCTGGGGCCACCCCCAGCAGCGATGCACGTTTTATTTCTAACTCACTGCAGTTCCCTGCGGTTTGTTTCATTCTGTGCTGGACCGCATGTGCGGCGGCGAGGGAGCACGGTGCGGGGGGCAGCCAGCCTTGTGGTCCTGCCCACGGGCAGGAGCCGTCAGCAGAGCAGCTCAGAGATGGTTAAACCGCACAGCCGAAGGGGTTGCCCTGCTGCGAGATGCTTTTGTTCATGTGAAATAAAGGATTCCCTAAAACCTTGAGTGAAAATACTAATTTTAATAAAACAAGAAATTTATATAAAGGGAGCTGGACTTCCTCTGCGTGTGTATCATTGGTGCTTTAAAAAAATACAGGACATGGAGCACACTTGGCCCCAGCCTCTCCCCATTTGCGCTCCACACGCGGCTCATCTGTGTGCTCAGGACCACCTGGCTGGCGCGGGCCTCGCTGCGGGGGCTCTCATGCCCCCATCTCCAATCCCCCCGGCAGTGAAGACCCCAAGGGCCGCAGGGAAGCAGTGTGGGATTGTGGTTGACTGAACTGGTTCACAAGGAAAGCTGAAATCTTTTGTTTACGCAAGTGGCACAGCTTGAAGAAAAGCAACCGAGTTAGGATGCTGCAAGTCCAGACAAAGGCAAGTGGGAAGAATTTAAAAAAGGTCCTTGCTTTAAACAGCAAAAATGGTCATATTTCTAAAACAATACACACACTGCACCGTACATTGCCTTCAAATCGGCAAATCCTGATTTTCAGTGACCCGGAGCCTCCCCTGCCCTCGCACTCGGCTGCTGTTTGCACGTGCTTGCGGGGTCACGGGTGGGCGTCAGGGCGCAGCGTGCACGAGGCCGCGTGCCACAGACCTGCGGTGCCTGCGTGGGGCACAGCCCTCCCCGGGACGCCACGTGGCCCCCACGCAGGAGCACGGCTCACAGACACGCATCCCACAAGGGCACAGCTTCCCGGCAGCCTGGGCTGGGATCAGGGAATCAGGGGTGCAAATACAGCCACTGGAGTGCCTGCTGGGGAGAAGTCAAATGCCCAGGCTTGTTCTGCCTGGGACTGCTACACTGCTGTGTGCCTCAGTCTGTTTTTAATATTCTTTCCACAGGTGCCCTACTCGCCTCAAAAAACAAATAATATTGAGCTAGACAGATGTAGCAAACACCACAGATAGTATATAAACACACAGGTACAGAAACATATGCATAAAGTGGATAAATTAGGATACTACAAAACATCATCATCTTTACTGTGACTTAGTAAGAGCAGATTCTTTTTCAAATTAGGCATTAAAACACTTCAAATGTCCATGTGGGCACCAGTTGCTGTTGATGGATGTGGGTGACGTCCTGCAGAATCTGAGCCCAGCCTGTGCAAGGTGCACATGTACTTCACAGAAAGAAGCTGCTCTCGACCTCACCAAATCACATGCATGAGACCACAGACAGGAATTTGGGTCCACCAAAAAACATTAAGATTATGAGAATGACATTTTATTATATTGCTTTTCTAGCCCGGTAAAGCTTTATAGGACCATTTAAAAAATATTTTGATCATTTCAAACCTATAAATGGTGACAGTAAGGACAGTTTGCGAACTCTCAAGAAGGCTATTTAATTATGTGCATGTCCTGTAATGAAGGCTCTAGGTGGCTAAAATTAGAACTGGCAAAAATTATGAATATTCATTAGCTCTGTGCATGCCAAAAATCAGCTCATTTAAAAATGAAATTGTAGCTAAGCAATTCTTAATAGATGAGGTACAGGGACTGCATCTTTATATATATTTTATATAAAATATATACACACACACTTTATGTACATTACACATATATATCAGCTTGTTATATGTTTTGCAAGGGTTTGTTTAAGACGATAGGAATAGACAAGGACTTCTTGGGCCATTGCACACAATCCCTGCTACTGCCTGTATTACCGCATGCAAGTTATTCACACAAATACTTTGGCTTCCATCTTAAAAACAGTTACAGTATTTTTACCCCTTACTCTCCTAGGAAGAAGGTTGCAGAATCTTCTTCCAACGGTTAGGAACCATCTCCAAACCGACTGCCTAAACAGACACAGCTCATGATGCCCTTCCCTTTTTTTTTTTTTTCCCCCAGCATTGTCTTTTAGCTTAAGTAGCCCTTCTTATTTGCCTCCAGATGTGCTCACAGACATTGATCACAGCCTCTCTCAAGCTCCATCCTGCAAAGGCAAATAATCTGTGTTGCTTTAGCCTTATATCCTAAGTCAGCAATTCAATGGCATTTGGGAAGACAAAGCTCTCTGCCACAGCTGACCTAAGCACTGCAGTAGGTTTGCACAGCAGACACTGATGCCGGCATGCTGCACTGCACCATAAAAATTTTGCACAAATATTATACCCATTCATGGAATATGAAAATACGCATTTCCTACAAAAACAGCATGCAAGTTTCACTTATGTCACCACTGGGTGCACACGCTCTGGTCAAACGCACAAAAGAAGGAAGAGTGAACCACCATGTGCAGCTAGTGCTGTCCGGGTCAGAGAGGAAAGCTTTTGTCTGCTCTCCTTTCCTGGAAGGCCACCTTCCTCTGACCACAAAGGACTTCTGGTAGATTATGACCCACAGAACTTGACTCAAGTAGCTACTTTGTCCCATTTCCCCCAGAACTTGGTTTAGAGATTGCTCATCCTTCCCACTCTCCATGGGGTTATCTCTAAATAGAGAATATCTCAAAGTAACATAACATTTTGGACCCTCATACATTGCAAGCTGTCCAGGTAAATCTCTCTATGTATCTGGACAGGTGAAGCAATGGTCAGAGTCCAAAACCTGCCACCAGGATTGAGAGGGCAAAAGGCTCTGAAGAAGTAAATTGTTATATCCAATACAGATTTTGGGCCAAATTTTACTGGAACTCCTCTGCTTCATGCCAGGTCAGGGAGTGACACTAGCAATAAATCTACTAAAATCAGCCAAATTAAGTTGCATTTGGGACTGTCACGCAGTAGAAGCCTATTGGCGAATGTTAGGTTTTATTGAATTATTTCTCCCCCTGCATCCATTTTAACGAAACATAGGGGCAGATGAAGAAAACTACTAAAAAAACCCCAAGCAATTTCCCTGCAAGGCAGGTTTTCCTACACTCAACAAGCTGTAGGTTTATCACACTGAGCTTTAATTAACCAGGATGTTTTAGTCAAAAATCAAAAAGCTATCATGCCATTAAAAGCCATGTTGATGTTCACTCCACGTACATTTTCCTTCTTATTTTGTATTCAATAGTAGCATATTAGAAATAGAAACATGCATGCAATTCCCTCAAGCTTTCAGTTTTCTTCAGGAAGTTAAGGCTATGATGAGTCATAAGCAGGCAACTAGAACAAAATGAGAGATGCTACATTTGAAAAAGGAGAAGAGTTTAACACTTGATTTTTTCAAAGTGAACAACTGTCACAATAAACAAGTTGGAATCAAGATTCTCCATTAAACTGCAGCTACATTTTGACCTGCTGCACATCTGGATTCAGGTTACCACAACTGCTTTCCTGTTTGATCCCAACCACTCTCCTGTTGACTCAAGAGCTCAGAGCCAACCTCCAGCCACGCCACGAAGTTCTACAGGCTCTTCTCTTAAATAAAGAAGTTGCTCACACTTTGCATTTCTCCTGACCTTCCAGAATAGCCACTGCTGGAAGCTACAGGAAAAAACATTTGCAGACACCCTCCCCACCACTGTGCAACCCATGCAAGGTTCATGATGTCAGTGAGCAACGTTCCCCAGGTGTTCCAATACCAAAAAGCCTGGTCGCTCAAGCTAACATCCCCAAAGATGACAGGCAGTAATGATGCAGGTGGACGCATTCCCTACAAACCAGGCCAGACACAAAACTGCTGTATGCATGTAAGCTTACTACA